TTTACTGTAAATATAATGTCTGTTTGTACCTTGCATGAACAAGTTTAATATTTGGGAAATGATTTTTGTTTAATTTTTTTATATAATTTTTATATATCATTAAATGAGTAAATACACTCAATATTAGAAATTTTACATAAATAAAAAAAATTAATTATTTAAATGATATATAAAGTTATATTGAAAAATAACATTAAAAAATCGTTTTAAAATTATTTCTTTAATTTTAAATAAAAACCTTTTAAGTTAATGGATATTAATTCCGTTACAAAATGAATTTATTATCTAAATCATGTTCTTATTTTTGAACATCTAGTCTTTTTTCTTTGAAAAAATATAAATTTTATGTTGTTAAAAATATTGAGAGATATTAGAAGATAGGAATGCATAAGTGGTAATTGAGTCAATTATGATAATTTAGGAGTTGTAATTTTTTTGGTTAAAGGGTCATCTAATGGGTATGTATAAAAGTTACATATATACTCAAGAGATTAGTGTTTATAAAAAGAAGAGGGATTCAGTTACATACAATTTTTACGTATTATACTTATACACAATTTTGATAATTTATTTTTTCACTTTTCATATTTAAAATCCATTATAACTTTTTAAATAAAAAAACAGTTATTTTTAGTAAATGTGTGTAAATCTTAACCATTCATTTAATCATTAAAAGTGGAGAAATCAATGATTAAAATTTTATACAACTTTAATATGTAAAATTTATATGTAAATAGATCTCTACTTTTAGAAAAATTGTTTATCAACCAAAACTATAAAATATCAAGTAAAAAAAATTCAAAATTACGTCATTTTAATAATTTTACATTAAAAAAAGACTAAAACATCATAATAGTTTTAAAGCATGAATGAAATTGTATTTTCTTGTGATGTTTTATTAAAATAACATAATTTTAAATAATTTTTTACCTAATTTTTTGTACTTCCAACTAATAAATATTTCTCCCTATACTCAATTTGTATTTTTCTTTTCAATTTTCTCTTCTATCTTTTCCATTCTTTAATTTTTTTTTTCTTTTACTTGTTATCAGAACTCTATAGTTTCAAAAGGCTATAGGGCCCTTTGCAATCCTTTTAGTATTAAATTCCTTCTATAGATATTTTAATTAATTTCTCGTGGTTTCAAATTCTTCTAATTTTTTTTCTTTATTATTATGGTCTCATATCTCCTACAATTTTCTTTCATCCCACCACCATATCTTATTAATGATTTTCAAATTCTCCTTTCTCCTCCAAAATTCCAATAACTCTTTATTTGTTGGAATTAAATTCCCCCTCTACAAGCTCTAATAGCGCTTGTTGAAAATTTGACTCACACCAAAGATTGATTAATAAGAAATATTACCATAAAATTATATATGTAGATTAAATAATAAAGCAAAATAATAATGAAAAATAACACATAAAATGTTAAAACCCTCCCAAGTAAGCTAAAAATCACCGAGAAGAAAAGAAAAATCTATATTAACAAAGAGTTACAATATTAAATTCCAAATCTCAGTCTCCTCTTAAAACTCCTAATATCTCTCAAGAGTCTTCTCTTAATCTTGTATTTTCTCTTCCATACCTAGAAACTCTTAATAGTCTCTAAGAAACTCTCATAAACCACCAATGACTAAAAAGCACTTCTCAACTTTTAATTAGTTTCATACCATAAATTGAGTCCTATGAGAATTATGGCACATAGAGGTATCCTAGAATAGTTCTATCTGTTAGGTTTAAGAGGGCACAATGGAAGCAAAAAATTAAAAATTTTAATTTTGTCATCTTTTAATCCACCTAGGATTCTTATGAATCCATCGACAGTTAAGGAAGGGTTTAAAATCAGTACCTTAATGAAGTGTATCTCATTGATATGTAGATCTGACTACTGTCCCCTGATGAAGTCGCTCAAGAATCCAAGTGTAAATTTCCTCTAGCAGTGTTCCATACATACACTGGAGGATTTAATGATTACTAGCCTAAAATTTTACGATGGAAAAATCCTCTATCAAGGATTTAGGGTTTTCTCTGCCTATTCATATTAATAAGGAATAGAAGACTTGCAATTCTAATCCAACACTACAAGAAAAATGATTTTTAGTGACAGAAATTGATGATGAATTTTGAAATTATCACTGTAACTTATCATAATTGTGACAAATCTAAAAAATTAGTCACAGATGTATACATATTTAATGATGAACAAAAAAATTTATCATAAAAAATATATTTCGTCACCGAAAAATATTCATAGAGATAAAATAAATTTTTATCAATAAAAATCATCATTATAATGCATTACAATTATGACAAAATTCTAATATTGGTCACATATACCTTACATATTCAATGATGACCAAATAATTTATCACCAAAAAATATATTTCGTCACTAAAAACTGTCAATTTTCTCTAATCAATGTATCCCATATCGATAAAAAAACACATAAGAGAATAAGGTTTTATACTATAAATATATCCCACATCGATAAGAAATGTTTAAGAAAATAAATTTTTACACTATAAAACATGTAAAACTCAATAAAACTTGAGATTAATTTGAGCCTGATTAATTTTAACCGAGCTTGATTAATTTTAATCAAAATTGATTAATATTGAAATAATAATATTTTTTTATTAAACTTTTGTGATAAATTTATATATTATTTTTTTGTGACAAAATTTTTATTAAAATTTTTGTGTTGTAATTATATAAATATCTTTTTTATTTAATATCAATTTTAATAATTAATGACTAAATTTTGCATCATAATTGCATTTGTGACGAATATTTTTTGTGACGAATAAAATTGTTATAAATAACTTGTTTACAATGTCAATTTTTTTTATCATTATAAAATTATTTTCTATGACAAATGCCTAATTTGTCATTAAGAGCATTAGTGACAAGGGTTTTACTAACGGTTTAAATTTTATCACTAATAATAATTTGTGACAAAAAATAAAGATTTAATGATCAATAATTTAGTCACTAAATATGAATTTTCTTGTAGTGCAAGTAAAATTGTCAAACTTAGTCTTCAAGTCAAAATAGAAAACTCAAGAGAAGACTTTTCCTTCCCTTATTTTTCCCTTTCTTGTCACACACCTCAGTCCAATATGGACAAGTATTTTTGGCCAAGGCTCCAAGCGCATTATGTTGTTTAAGCCCTTAACCCAATGAGCTAGGGTTTTAGCCATATAGGCCTCCAAGGATTTAAATGTCACTTTGGATTTTTTTTTGTCCTTAATTTAGAATAAATCCAAACTTGAATTAATTTAATTTAATTTGATTAATTCTTTCTAATAATTTATTTTAGATCTTGATTAATTTATTTCTCTTGTGAAAATACTATTTTCACATAAATTAATCCATATCCATAAACTTAGATTTATATAAATCTTGATCTCCAAAATGCACTAAGTGTGTGGCCTATAGTTTTCTATCACGATGGCAATTGAAAAACTCACAGACCAAGAGTGGTATCTAATAACACATCATGGCCACCCAAAGTGACAGAAATAATAGATAGCTTAAATGAACCTTCCTATGATCGATGCTTTTGTATAATTCAATCCCTTTTTCATTGATATCTCCATCAAGCAAGATGCATGTTATGTATCATCATCCTTAAAGCTTGATACATCTTTCTTTGATTCCCAATATATATATATACTTCTTGAATGAACCTTCATTCTTGCCATGGTCATGGACTTTGTAAGTAATCTCATCTCAATCAAAGGGCCAAAGATATCTTCTCTCACAAGCTCAAGAGGGACAAATCCTATCTTGATTCACCCATTACTCTTATGTGATTCATGATGCACTTAATAACTGTATTACTCGTAACCCCTTGAAGTGGAAATTTTTAATAGCATCAAAGTACACAAGTCCTCCTATAGAATAATGACGATCTTAAGTCAAAGGATCACTTACACTTGTGTCATAATTGAAAAACTACTAATGACATGCATGTAAAGCTCTTATGGCAAGTTAGTCTAGTGCACTCACTTGCTTTGAATCACCCACATGTGATACCTGACTTCATGAGAAGAAGTCTTGGCTCTTAATAAAGCATCACACTTGATAGTCTTTACACCATTGATGTCTCATCTCAATGACATATATGACTAATAGAAAATTTAAGAATGCTGCTATTACATCACACAGTTCTTACTAATAGTAATTACTATTATTACATTTGATGCAGCAAGCATTCTAAGAACTTTATTGATATTTAACATCCACAAAAAATATTTGTTAATATTTAATAAAGAATGTCATAAATATAATGAGTGTAATCACAAATACATAAGATTTTCTTACAACCTAGCTTGCTTGTAGGGTATACTCTAACAGGTTAAGGTAAGACATTTTTATTGGGATGATCCTTGTTTGTTTAAGTATTGTCCTAACCAAATTGTCTAGCTAACCTAGTTGGCTTGTAGGGCATACTATAATAGGTTGAGGTACGAAATTTTTATTTCGATGTTATTAGTTTAAGTATTGCTCTAATCAGATCATGAGGTAGTGTATTCTAGAATATGAGATTAATAGTGTTCTTAATTTTTGTCACTCTAAAGCTTGTGGTGACCATTTTTCTATGAAGAAAATAGCTACAAAAATTTTGCTATGTGGACTTTATTAGCCTACTTTGTTTAGGGATAATGCTTTTTGTCATTCTTGTGATAGGTGATAAAAGTTACATGCATTAACTCATCATCACATGATGCCTTAACCCAATTCTAGTCATTGAGATTTTTGATTGTTGGGGTATTTATTTCATGAGACCATTTCCAACTTCTTTTGGTTATCCTTACATTCTTCTTGTTGTTGATTATTGTGTAAATGTGTTGAAGCTATACCTTGTCATACTAATGATAACAAAGTTGTTGTTAAGTTTTTGAAAGAAAATGTGTTATCAAGGTATGGCACATTTTGGCACATTTTTGTTAGTGATCAAGGGACACATTTTTTTAACCATTCTTTCAAAGCTTTGATGGGCAATATGGTGTTCATTACAAAGTATCTACTACTTACCAGCCATAGACCAATAGGCAAACTAAATTAGCTAATGGGGAGGTAAAGCAAATCTAGGAGAAGACGGTTAACCCAAACCACAAAGATTGGTCTTTGTGCCTTTCATATGCACTTTGGGAATACCATATTGCTTATAAGACCATCCTTGGGATGTCTCTGTACCGGCTTGTATATGGGAAAGCATTTCATCTACTTTTGGAGTTTGAACATAAAGCTTATTAGGCTGTTAAAGCACTTAATTTTGATTTGAATATTGCAGGCATCCAAAGGAAGTTATAAATATCAAAGATAGAGTAAATAAGGGATGATGCAGATGATAAGTCATGGATTTACAAGCTTGTCAAATATATCATTAAACAATACCATAATTTGTTCAAACAATTACATATTGTAATAACATTAGCAATTTCTAAAACTAATTTTTTACAACAATATTTGCCATTACTAAATATACTATTTAATAATGCCATAAGTTCTTACAAAAACTTGCATTTTGTAACAACCTCTAATTGTTTCTAAAATTAGTATTTTGCAATAACGATAATTATTGCTAAAAATTTATAACACAACAAATTTTATGGAGTGGTTACAATAACCCCTTTTTGAAGGATTATTTGTCATTGCTAAATATATTATTTAACATGATAAATTATTGCAAAAAGTTGCATCTTGTAACAGCCTTTATTCGTTTCTAAAACTAATATTTTATAACAATGACAGTCATTGTTAAAAAAAACATAAAATAACTCTAGTGATAATTAAAATAAATGTAAACAACAACAAAATTTGTGAAAAAAAAGTATCATACAATGATTTCAGATATTACAAAAAGGAATAATACAAAATAGTAGACAGAAAGATGCTTATTAAACTTATATTAACTAAAAAGATAATACAAAACACATATATGAGGGGTTTATTTAGCTGAAAAATACAATTTTGAAAGGTTTATCTAATTACCTATTACAAGAAACTTTAACTAAAAATTCTAGTCCAAGCATAATAGCATCTTCTATGGTCACTAAGAATTCTAGTCCATCACCATAATGAGTAATAGCTTCAACACTCAAGTGCCTTCCGCTAGCTGATTTATTCTCGTACACCAGAAGATGTGGCAACGCAATATGCTTGAAATGAATAGATCCCAAGAAAAATTTCTCATATGGATCAGCACAGCCTGAAACAATTTGAAAAAATTCATTCTAGAGTCTAAGATCAGGAAATCCTCCAGCTTACATGATTAAACAAAACCTCGACACCCAAAATAGAGTAACATAACAATGATCTAATCAGTTTCTACTAATTCTCCTACTAGGCAACATAACATACACTTAATTGACCAAAAACTTCAAATACATGAGGTACAGGCCAAAAAGCCCTTTAAATATTAGATAAACCAAATTGGATCACGTTACAATCAGGTAGCATGTTGAGAAGAGCAACAAAATTGACTTGCATGAAAATTAAATTATAGAAAAAAGAGTTGAATAGAAATTGGGTTAACAAGTAGTACAGAGGAAAACTCACTTGAATAGAAACTGCAGCATTAGTCTGCCAAGAATACTACCTTGGAGTGTTAATAGTACTAATGTTAGCATTAAGAGTTGGGGAGATAACAGGACCCATCATGATGTCTGGATTCACCACCACCATGCCCCCCTCGAGTTTGAAACTAAAATACTTTACAAGAAACAAAAAACTAAAGAGTTAGTAATTTATTGCACCAAAGCCATAAAAAATGTGACAGCTCCTACCACAAAGTGACTCCTCACATTGAGTTGGAAGAATATAAGTGTTTTCCTCATAAGCCCTGTCTGCTTTGAATAACAATCACAAAATAAATTATAATTGAATGATCCAACACTTCATTTTGGTAAAAACAAGAAAAGAGATTTATAGAAACTGTCAAACTGTCAAAATAAATTTCATGATACCTTTTCAGCTAGCAGCTTACCTGAAAACATCCTGACAATATCACTTTTCAATCTTGCTATCCCACGACCTTGGGTTCATCTAGTGATTTCTCTTCGGTTTGCTCCTTCGATCTTTCCCTTTTCTTCGACAATTTTTGTTTTCTGCTTCAAGACATAGTCTCTGGTTTTAGAGTTAGGATTAGCTAAATGTCTCAAATGAATTGAAATTGGTTGAGGCTGGTAGTGAGGCTGTGAGAGGAAGAGGAAAAACAAAATGGAAAAACCAAAATGCCATCAATTCAATAGGTAATGAACCCAAAACCCATCAAACAAAGGTTTAGAAAACCAACAAGAACAGTGAATTAAACACAAAAGGGAATGAAGAAGCTTACCACGCCGAACCCTAGGCCCCTGTCTTGATAGCGAACTCTAGGTTGATTTGGAGAAAAGAAGCGTGCACAACAACATCTAGCGTTTTGCCGTCACTGATGAGCTTTGACGACAATGAGATCCCACAGCAATGAGCTCCGATCGAGGAAAGAGAGAAAGGGATTTATTGAAGGCGAGAAGTGCAATTTAGAGAAGCGAGGAACTACAGGAACTATATATGTATTTTCTAATTTATATGTATTTTCTTCCAATGAGTTTATTAAAACGGTTTTTGAAAAGGGTTTTTTGTGTTACCATTTGTTTTGTAAAGGACTGTAAAAATAGGTCCATTAAAAGGGGAGAAGAATCCAATGTCAAGAGAGCCATCCTTCTTGATAGTTCTGATTTTCTAGTTCATCATATAACATATGGTAAGATAATTTTTCCTTTTGAAAAATCATAAGTATAAGTTAATACTATACCTATATTTATATGTGACCCAAGCTATAGCTATTTTGTGTACCTACGGGCAAGTAAAATGGCGTAGGTATAGTTCTCCATTTTTGTATGGTTTTTTTTTTTTTTTTTTTTTTGTGAGAGTATATTTTAAGTTTGTATGCCCAGAAACCAAAAACTGTAGTTAATAGTTCTCTTATGTACCTACACCAAGCAAATTGTGTAGGTACAGTCTTCTTTTTCTTATGGTTTTTTATATGTGCAAGTATAACTTAATCTATATACCCACAAACTATATAGCATGGCTAATAAAGATGTATACCTAAAAAATTTTGAACGTAAGTAAAAAAAAGTATAGGTATATGGCAAATTTGTCATAGTGAAGGCTAAACTGAAAGTAGCTCATGATAAACAGATCTTAAGGAAGAATTTAGAACCAAGCCAAAGAGTGAATCTTTATGATTCACGTTTGCATCTCCATCAAGTAAAGCTAAGATCTAGATGGAGAAGTTCATTTGTGGTGAAACAAGTTTTCCCTAATGGTGCTATTGAGATTGGAGATCCAACCGATGGGAAAATTTTTCAAGTTAATGGACAACAATGGAAACATTATATGGAGTGGGTAGACTACCTTGAGGAGATCACTCTTGTGGGTCTGGTCTACAATACCTAATTAGGTTCTATCTTTCAATAGTATAATTATTTTATTTTGTTTTCTTTTATTAGTTTTCTATGCTTCCTTCCCTAGTTATTACTTCGTAGGTTTACCTTCATTCAAAATACCATCACTCAAGTGTCTTCTATCCTTTGCTCTGTCATTTTTTTTATTCTATTCCAATGGGGACACTATCTCATTTAGGTTGTGGGTGATAGCATTGCATGCACACATTTTATATACTTTTTTTTATGTAAAAAAAATGCCAACAATTTGCTTATTCCTTTTATTTTGGTAATTCTTGTGTGAATGGGTTTGCAAAACATGATTCAGACGTTTAGATTGATTTTTTGCTTTACGTTTTGGGTATGATTTTGAAATTGCTTAGTTTAAGTCACTTTTTCTATCTTTATTTTTAAAGAGTAACTTCTGAAAACTTTTTATACACATTACTAAGCTCTGTGGTAAGATGGAAGTTCAATATGTATAGCTAAAAGAATTGTCAAGTTTAAGAACCTTTATATATATATATATACTCACATATCTTTTGTGAGTGAGTAAAGAGTTGATAAAACAACTTATGAACTTTCATTGATTAGTTGAATTGTTTAGTTGCTATTTAAAATGTCACTACTCATTTGGAGGAATGAATGAATGATTAGCTTTAGAAAGTAAAATGAAAAAAAAAAAAGGAAAAAGAAAAAGAAAATAGAAGGAGAACTACTGTTGTGTAATGTGAAGCCTTGGCATAATTTATGTGATATTAGTTATGTGAGAAATTTTGCAATTTCCCTACTTCCCTACTTTGTTTCAGAAAAAAAAAAAAAAGAATGAAAAAAATTAAAAATAAAAACCAAAAATAAAAAGATTCAACAAAATAAAGTCTTCCATCAATTTTGAAGACAAAAATTTCTTTTCTTAGGGAATAGCTTTTCTCATTGGGCTCTACTTTTATTGCTCTCATATTTGATGGATTGAAATCCTTAAGCTTGTGTACAATGAGGGTAGTAGAATTTTGTATATCTAATTTTCTTATCTTGTGCTCAATGTTTGTTTGTTTGATTGCCCATTAAATTTGGCCTTTTTCTTTGAGTGGCCTTTTGCTTTCCAACTCTAAGAGAGAAATCTTTTCCCTTAAACAACTATTCACCCATGAGGATATAGAGTTGAGGCTTTTACTTTTATTAATTCTCAAGGCTATATGTGTTGGGATTTGTGATATAAAGGTTTTGCTTAGTTCACACACATACGCTTTTGAAAGTTATAGTTGAAGTAATCTTTATAATAATTGTGATCTTTTTCTAACTTTTTGTTTGAAATACCTTGATGGTTTTGCTAGATTTTTTTTTTTGAGCCGATCAACATGCTTTCTTTCTTATTTCACACTTGAATTGCTAGAGATTAGCAATAAACTGGCTGTGATGAAAGCATGAACATGTATATTTAAAGTATGCTCAACAATTGACTTTAGTGAAATTATGGACTTAAGAGTCACATTTTTATATAAAAAATAATTGGTACACCCTCTGGTTCAACATACCTAACAATGCTTATCGGTTTAATTATTAAAATTTGTCTTTGAAAATTTTCTTACCTTGAATTCAAATATGAAAATATTAGTTTTTTAATGACTAAACCAGTGGTTATTGCTAGGTGTGTTGAACTGAAGGGTATAGTAATCATTGTCCCTTTTAGATAAGTAATTTTATAAATGTTCATTCTATTCATGCAACTTTTTATGATTAAAAGTTTGATGATTAAATGGAGAGAAATAGAAGAAAAGGACTTAAATGAAAGGAGTCAGAAGGATGAGTGTTCAAGGTCAAATTCAAAAGTTTGAGTCCTCAAGTGAGATTTTCTACATTTTTGGCAAAGGAACAAAGTGCCTAAAGTCGCCAACAAGGTGTTGGAACTTGCCTTCAAGTTCCAACCCTCGATCATATAAAAAGGGGATAGTGGAAAATGGGGTGCCGCACCTTGATTCCAAGTTCCAACCCTTAGTTGCCAAATGCACAAGTGACAAACGAATATAAGGTGTAACACCCTAATCTCAGGTTTCAACCCCTATTCAATTGGAGTGTGCGGAAGAAGAAAAAATTAAAATTAATTTCTTAAGGCTTCTATCCTAGTTACCAACCACTTTTATTTTATTTCCAATATAAATAGGAACCTTCAAAACAATGTTTAGCTTCCTTCACTTGTTTTCTTCTTCTTCTTTTCCTACATGTGAGAATTATGTCAAGACATAACTAAACTTTCAACAAAGCAAATAAGGATCTTAATTAAAGAGTTTGACTTGTTATTTTATTTTAATTCCTTCAAACATTTTAACTTTTTTTTTTTACATTGTCAATTATTTTTAGATTTGAAAACCCTAAAAGTTTTATTCATCAAATTTCATATAAGATTAAATTTCATATAAGATTAATCATATTCTTTTTATATGTAATTTGTTAGAATATAGTCAATTAGTAAATTTGTTTTATGAGTTACTCTTTTGTTGCAGTATTGTTGATTAGATATATTGTCACTCTTGATATCTCACAAAAATAGATCAGTTTGTTCTTCATTGAAGTTAATTTATCTCAAAATAAATATATTGGTTGTTTTTATTGGTCTTCAATGTTATATCCTTAAATTGTTTGGTTGGGATGTGAAGCATGTTGATGAGTTGAATTTATATACATACTAATGTGAAATTTCTATCTTAATATTATTGATATTTAGATTAGTTTTATGAGATATTACTTGATTTTACATAAGTTTCATTTTTTGTGTAGGAAAGGATTTATTTGGCAGAAATCATAACTTTTAAAACCAAATTCAAGAGAACAAAAATATGAAGATTAAATTGCACAGAAGCTAGAAGTTATGGACCAAGACAGCTATTTTGCCAATAATTAAAACTACTTTAAAGTCCAAAATCTTCGACACTGAATTTGTCTTCACGGTACAGTAAAGGTAGTGTGGCAATTTGCCACGATCCCCGCAAGCTCTGTGGGGATCTCGGTCATGAGGATGGCGGATATTTTTCTTTTATGAAATTTTGTAAGAATTCCCATTTTGTAAAAAATTAAAAAAATATATGTAAATTAATTTTATTTTAAATTTTAAATTTAATTCAACTTTTAAACTCAAACTTAATTTAATAAAAATTAAACCTAACCCAATTTTACCCAACCCAACCCATCATCAATAAGTTTGTTGATTTAACTATTTATGTTGAATTGATCTTTATTTATATTAAAAGAATTTTAGTTAATTATACTCGAATTTCTAAAATTTTATTCATTATAATTGAATATTAATTAATTATATGTAAACAATTTATATTTTGATATTAATTGACGGGAAATGAAGATTTTTGTGGGGAACAGAGATGGAGGGCAAAATTTGCCTCCATCAAAAATCCCCACAAGAATCCCTATCCCAAAAAATGGCGAGGACGGGAATAGGGAGGAACTCCCTAGTCCCATGGGGCCTGTTGCCATCCCTAAGTGAAGGGGTCGCACTTCCTTTAGAGTATTAACACCCTGTGCGATTTTCAGCAAGTCAGAACTAGTCCTCAATATGTTGGTGTGAGTCTCGCATCTATACCAATTAGACTTTTTTAAATTTTATAAATATTAATTCAAGATTATAATTGATGGGAGCTTTGGAGAGGCTGGTGATAGCCTTCTTTTTAGTACTTTTAGATATTAGAATAGAGAAGAAAACAAAAAATTTATCAACAATAATAGACTAAAAAATTTATCAACAATAATAGACCAAAAATTTTAACATTTTTAAATTGGTTTTATTTTTTCTTAAATTATTTTTATTTGTTGGTTGATATTCTTATATTCATAACGATAATTTCAAGTTTTAATATTTTTATTATGTATTAATTTAGCCTACTAAGGCTACAATGTAAAATAATAAATTTGATATAAGTTTTTATAATTTTTATACTATTGAAATTACTATTTCATTATGAGTTTATATTATTATTATGAATTTTTTTTAATGCTTGATCACTATTAAAATTGATATGGAGAGCATAATTGAGATTGAGAGAAGATTTTATATAATAACTTTTAATAATACATACCATGAATTGAACGAAAACCAAAAATAGATCAACATGATAATAAATAAACTTAATTTTCTACGTAGATTAGAAAATTTCACATAACATAATACATTTTTATCTATTTAAATTCACATAAAGATATGGTTTGCTAATATGTGAAGATAAATTTAGTATAACTTGAGAAATATATCGAATAGAATAGAAAATCTCTTTGTTACATGAGTAGTAATATCTTGAAAGCATAATAGTCTAAAATTAGGGTTGGGGTTTATGGTGAAGTCATATGCTTTAGTACCTTATATCTTAATTAGTTTTATTTTAATTGCTATTTTCTTTTTATTATTTTAATTAAATCTTTTTCATTTTCGATTGTTTAAATAAAGGATAATGCTGTGTGCACCCTCCGGTTCAACACCCGGGGGTGCACACCCTTAGTAACCAAACAACTTTAACAACAAAATTACAACTTTAACAACAAAATTACATATTTAACCTTAAAGTCATTTTCCTCTCAATATTCCTTTTTCTTCTTGTCTCTCCATCTTCCTCTATCGAATTCTTCTCCTTCCCCGAGATCTGCTTCACCCTCTTATATATATATATATTTTTGGGGCTGCTTGGCGATGATGATGATGATGGTGGTGATGGTGACGATGGTGATGGAAAACAGAGGGATCTATGGTTCTGCTCCTCTCCTTCTATTTTGGTGGTGATTGAGGATGG